GTTTATTTCTCAGCTTTCTGTCCTGTTCCATTGATCTATGTGTCTTTTTGGGTGCCAGTACAGTGCTGTCTTGATGACGGTCACTGTGTACTATAGTCTGAAGTTAGCCTGATTCCTCCTGATGTGTTCTTCTTTCTTTTGTCTATTCAGGGTGTTTTGTGCTTTCATACAAATCTTGACATTGTTTAAGTTCTGTGAAAATGCTATGGTAATTTGATAGGTATTGGATTAAATCTGTGATTGCCTTGGGTAGTGTGGCTATTTAAAAAATACTGAGTCTTCCAATCCAACAATGTGATGTCTTTCCATTTGTATTGTATTGTCTTCAATACAACTTAATTCATCAGCATCTTATAGTTTTCAGCATATAGGTCTTTTGCCACCTTAGGTAGATTTATTCCTAGGTATTTTATTCTTTGTGATGGGAAATGAGATTGTTCCCTCTGTGTTCTTCTCAATTATGTGAAGAAGATAAGAGGTTTGAACAATTATTTAATTATAAGACTATCTGATTTCAAGAAATCTTTTAAGAAATCCAGAACTTTTTATGTTGCTATAGATTACATTTTGTTATTAATTAGAAAAGAAAAAACCTTTAGTACGTGATGTCTTCTTTTCAATCAAGTTAGTGTTATTTTGCAACCTCATACATCTGGAAAAACAGTCTGTGAATTAAATAAATAAAATTTCTCCTTGCCATCATGAGACCAACAATAAAAATAGCTTTAAAAACCCTACAAAGAGTCCAAGATTGTAAACTTCATGGAAATGAGGATTTTTGTTTCATACCTGATGCACACAAGCCTGCCAATAGTCTCTGGCACATACTAGGTGTTCAGTATTTATTTAATGAATAAATCTGGTGGACTGTTTCAAGTTCTAGAAGGAAATTTATGATTTTGTTGCCTATAATAAAAAGGGTATGAAAGTTGAACCACTCATCCCAAATAAAAAAAAGAAAAAAGATAGCTAAGGAAAGAGGTAAAAAAGAAACAAGAGAAGATGAAATAGATTTGTCATTTGAAAATGGAAAAAGTAGTGATGCTGATTTGAAAAAGAAATGGATCCAGGGCATTATACCCTGCCATATTGGAAAAGAACACCAATGAAAGAGGCATAGAGGATAAAGTTAGTCTGTATTTGGATCTAGAGGCTTCTAATATACTAATAGAGTGCAACAAACATTAATCCATATGTACCTGTTTGGGTAGAATTTGAGGAGTAGGATAAGGAAACCAGGAAGGAATATAATTTTAAAATAGTAAGGTAAATCCATTGATTTCAGTGGCACAAAGTATAATTCATGGAATTTTTCTCTGAAAAGTACAACCAGTCAACAGACTCGATCAGTCTAAGGACCAAGGTCTTCCTTTCTGTACAGTATCCTTCTAAGTTTTTTTTTTTTTTTTAATAGACTTCTATATCCTGAATGTTGGCAAACTTAACAAGCTTAGTATTTCAGAATTTGTCAATTAGGCAAAAGCAGAGGCTTCAGAAAGTTGTATCAATCTTCAAAGAGTAACAAATTAAAAAGCATAAGATCTGGGAAAATTATTGTAAATCTGAATATAATCTGTATTTTTTGGTGGATTGGGCATTCAATAAACATTTGTTACAGAATGATTTAAGTTTTATGGTATTAAAGTCCTGAAAGATTTAGTTATGTGTGGTTTGAGTCAAATGATGTCATTCACATACAAGGTATTCCCTTGGAGGTTGTTGCAGTTTCTCCTGTATCTTCATCATTCTGACTGTTGTGTTATGAGGCTCTGAGTCCTATTAAATCTCCTGGAGAATACTGAATTGTTTTGTCTTAGCAAGCAATTAGTGTGGTTCTGTAGAAGCTGTAAGTCTTGACCTGCCTTTTGTGGGTTGTGATTTCATTATCAGGTCAGTCTTCAGAGTCCACAGCGATATTCTGGTTGACTTCTGTGCATCACTAGGGGCCAGTCTGGCACCTGGAGGGTGGTCCCTACTACAAATTCTCAAAGCATTTGCTGTGCTCACTCTGGTCAGTTCTATACATATTAAGTATGGGAATTAACCTCTGAGGGCTCAAATGGTAAGAATTTGCCTGCAGTGCAGGAGACCCGGGTTTAATACCCGGGTCAGGTCGGGAAGATCCCCTGAAGAAGGGCATGGCAGTCCACTCCAGAATTCTTGCCTGGAGAATCCCGTGGACAAGGGAGCTAGGCAGGCTACAGTCCATGGGGTCACAAAGACCCTCATGACTAAGTGACTAACACTTGCACTTTCATGGGAATTAGTTGAGCAATTCATATCAGATTTAAAGACCTCCTTCTCCTAGTTTCCTAATGTCTGTGAATTGTCTCTCATCATCTCTGGATCCCAGAGTCCTCTTTTCCTGACGCTGTGCCATTTATGGGCTGCCGCAGCTCTACTAAAAATCAGAAAATTAAAAATGACCCTCACTGGTTATTAGTCAGGGCTGGCTAGATAATGTGCAGGACCCAGTGAAAAATGCAGACGTGAAGCCCTTTGTTCAAAAATTCTCAGGATCTAAAGATGAGGACAGTGATTAAAACCAGCGTGGGACCTTCCGAGCATAGTGTCCTGTGCCACTTCGTTGAGTGCACACTCATAGCTCAACTGAAAACAAGAGTCCAGCCAGGGAAATGGCATAACAAGCACACCATCATGTAAGTTCAGTATAAATTCAATATTTGGTATAAACACCTTTGGTTGACAACAATATTCATGTATATTTAGTAGCAAAAGGAAAACTTGCCTGTCATACAATATGTACCTATATTTTTGTAAATATATTAGATCCTCGTCATTTGTGGAGTCCACACTTGTGAATTTGCCCATTCACTACAATTTATTTATTAACTCCGAAATCAATATCCCAAGATGGTGCTTCTGCAGTCATTTGTGGATGAGTGCAGGGTGGCAAAAAACTTGAACAGCTCAGCAGATGTCAAATAAGACCACTCTGCTCTCTTTTTATGGCTCTCATACTTTAAATGTGTCCTTTTGCAGACTATGTCATGCTACATTTTTGCTTTTCACTTATTTGTTTTTTTGCCTTTTGTTGGTGATTTCTGTGTTTAAAATGGTCACCAAGCCTAGGGCTGAAGTGCTATCCAGTGTTGCTAAGTGCGATGTGACTTACAGAGAAAATGTCTGTATTAGATGTTTCTTTAAGAGTGAGTTATAGTGCTTCAGCTGTGAGTTCAATGTTTATGAACCAACAGTATACATTAAATGAGGTGTCTTTAAACAAAAAATACTCATAACAATAGGTTGTGTTTTGGTCACTTAATGAAAATGTTGTGACTAGACGCTTGCAGGAACCTAACTGCATTTCCCCTAAGAGCAAACATTCATTATTTGCCAGTTCAGTATTCACAGGGGCCTTATAGACTCTAACAGTGAATAACAAAAATCAACTCTACATGTATAATGTATCAGTAGGTATCCAGCTATAGAATCTTAAACAGAATGTGTATAGAGTACTAAAAATAAATTTCAGGAGGTCTTCTTTCCTACCAAAGGGGATAAATTACCAACAGTACTCATTACTTAAGTTGCACTTGATATCTTATATACATTATGTAGCTTTACCTTACAATATATGTATTATCTCATTGTTGTTTAGTCACTAAGTCTGACTTTTTTGTGACCCCATGAATTGTAGCCCGCCAGGCTCCTCTCTCCATGGGATTTCTCAGGCAAGAAGACTGGAGTTGGTTATCATTCCCTTCTCCAGGGGACTTTTCTGACCCAGGGATCAAACCTGTATCAGCTGTGTTGGCAGGCTGATTCCTTGCCACTGAGCCACCAGCGTTAAATCCTTACAAAATCATTAAGATAGAAGAATTGCAATTTATGTTTTATAGCTGAAGAAAGAGATTCAAATTATCGCTCCTCTTAAATGATATAGCTAGCTACTGTCTAAGCTAAGATCTGAACTCTTGGGTCATGAATCTTGTCTGTAGAGAGTGTACAGAGTACATGGCCATTCAACTCATTCCCTTGGACATATCCCTGTCATTCCCACAAACACAAATACTATGATAATTCTGTACAGTAGGCTAATGGGAAAATGGTAATGAGCAAAGAATAAATGGGACCAGGATCAACTGAAGGTCTACATTCATCCCATGTATAAGGGAAGCTGTGAAGTCACATTCATGGCCGGTTGGAAATCACTTGCACATTTAACTGTGGGTGGTTGTTGAGAGGTGTAGGTCAGTAGCCATCTTTTATGGACCTGAATTGTAGCTTCAGGAAGATCTGTTTGATCATGATATGATACAGTATCTAGATATTTGAAGAACAGAGTTTTCCTTCATCTCTCAAAACAAGGTACATGACAAAAGTGATCAGAACCATTACCTGAAATTGTATTGGGGGTTAGCTCATATGACAATCAAGAAATCACAACAGAAAACTGTCATACAGTAAGGTTTGGAAGGAAGATAGATGACTGGTGAATATATATGAAGGCAACTATTTCAGATGCTCTGTGAACCAAGTCAATTCCAACTGTGTCTACTAAATAAAATAAGTAGATATCTACACTCACAGGCCCAGTCAGGATTTGTATAAAATGTACAAGGCTGAGCCTGTGTGTTCAGTCTTTGATACCCACAAATAGAAAGGACACAAATGAAATGCCCCTTAAGCCATGAACTCTCCTGAAATTTAAGGCCCAGATATTATGAGGTATGTAAAAAGCAACATTACTAATTACCAGTACTGGGTAAATTAAGGGGAAAAAATCAATTGTGAATGATTAACCAAATAGCATATCTTATTGCTAATTTCCTCCATTGTCCTACTGTCCATGTGACTCATGTGACATTTATAAAGCAGAACCAGATTTCCCTAAAAAAAAAAAAAAAAATCCTGAAAAATTAAAGAATGCTTTCAAAATGAATAATTTGTATGTAATGAGAATAATTGTTTTCTGCTTCTCTGAGTAGAGAATAGAACTGAGGAGGTGTAATGTGCTACTGCCTTTCTCTCTGCTAGGGGTTGTTGGAGCCACACTGGCATTCGTTCCAGACTCTGGCCCTGGACTTGAGGCCTCATAGGTATGTTCAGTTCCCCTGCTCCAGAATCACCTGCAATGTGGCGACTTTCCATATGCAAAAGTGAAATTAATTTGTTCTTTATTTGGGGGTTTAAAAAAAAAAATTAGAGAGAGATAGTAGGTGAACTCTCAGCTGCCAACATAGCACAGATGGGCTCAGGAACAGAGAATGATGTAGATCGGCAGGACCAGAGCGAGCTGTGGGAAGTTTGGGCAGAAGGTCTGAGGCATAAAACAGTAAAGGACTACTGAATACTCCATGGTAGATGTGCTTGTTCCCTTGCCCCATATGCCCTTGATAAAAAGACATTTTGAACTCTAAGGTTGACTTGAAAAATATATAACTTAATCTAGTTTTGAAAAATAGCCCTGGTACACAAACACTGATTCAGTGTTAAAACATGTTTACTGAAATATCAAAGGGTTTTCATATTTCATTACATTGCCTATCCTATGTATCTGATATCCCCAATTAATTGAATATATCTTGATTCATTTAAAATGCATGGACCTACTAAGTCCATCATTACACAAGAATACCTCCTTTCAGAAGAGAGGCACAAAAAAGACTTAACCTGTTTGCTTGTTTTATTTTTTTCTTTTTCCTACCTCTACCTATTCCCAAACTGCAATTTACCCTGCTTTCCATTTCTTTAATTTTCTCTTCTTTCTGTGGCCTTTCTCTCTTATTCTTACTCATTTTCCCATCCTCAGCTCACTACTCTTTATATGGTTGCCTTGAGACTCCAGTTTTTTTAGCTAGTTAGTGAAATCACTGACCAGCCTTTGGTTTCAATAGGCTAAATATAAACGGATAACAGCCAGAAGATATATATAAACAGAACTCTGACCCACAACATGCCGCAACTAGTCCAGGAAGCTAAACCACATTTTCTGTAGCAGTTGGCCCGAGATGATCAGGACTTTATTAATAACACTGTGCCCGCTTAGAAATTAGGACCCCCTGGAGAAAGCCTAATATGTATTCCTAAACCATCATGTAGGATGTCCTACTTCTTGTTAGCCCACCTCCAGCTTCCTTAAACCATCAACATCCAAAAAAAACCTTCCATTTTCTTCAGTCTAAACCTTTCCCATTCTGCTTGTCTTTGAGTCTCTACTAAAACACAAGTGACTGTAATAAACTCCCTTGCTAGAGCAAGTCCTGAATATTTAGTCTTTGCTTGTTCTCATTTGGGTGAATTTCACGTATCCCCACAGTTCTTTCATTCTATGAAATTGCCAGTTACAGAAATTATTTGACTAAATACCATGGCCATCGCTCCTCTGGAGGCATTAGTTCTCTCTGGCTCCTTTTCTTCAATTTCCCTACTTTACCCAAGTGCAACCTACCCTTTGTGAGGCTTTAGAAAGGATCTTCTTTTTTTAACCACACTTTTTATTTGACTGGCAAATGGTGAAATGTTATTTAAATTGAATGTGCCTCAATTCTGGTTCTGAAACAAAAATAAAATTGTAAATTTGTTTCCATAAGTATGATGGGACACCTAATTATCCTTATTTTATCTATCAATGAACATATTCTGAAAAGTCATTTGGTCTTGTGCCAAGTAGAAACTATTAAAATGTAATGGGCTTTTTGTCTAGAACTATTATATAATGCTTCAGAGTTTTCTAATAGTTTGATGCTCTCCATTCTATTCACGTTTTTGTTGCAGTAAAATGTAAAAGAAAATAACCTTGTGTGTGCATATTAGAATTTCAACAGGTAAGGGTTTCCATGGATACTTTTGTGTAGCCAGAGAGCTTGAGTGTGGAGAGAAGCATTCATTTCTCATTCTAAAAGATTTTCTTCTGATAAAAAAACCCCTGCCAATCATTTTGTTATGTCTTGACTTTCTAAAAGAATAAAATAATATATATCATGAGTGTTATGTTTTTAAGGTATGAGATAGGTCTATCTCAATAACCTTTTCAGTCATCTGGACTATTTGAGAAGTGCCCTGTCATTTTGTTAAAGCTTGAAAAATCTATGAAGATTCTGTAAGCAAATTTTAATGAGTTTTAAGTATGGCCTTCTAGACTTGTATAAAGTGTTTTCCTCTTGCTTTGTTATCATTTAAGGCAGTTTAAACTACCCATTACCAATGCTAAAATAAAGGTTTATCTTTTACTTAAAATAGTTTTTGGAACAGTTTAATCTTCAGTTTTATCTTGACTTGAACATTCTCAAGAGTCTTTGATTGAATCTTACTTCCTGACGTCCCACCCAAATGAATTTTTTTTCCAGCTTTTCTGTCTTTTTGAGAAACATTAAAAAAAAATGTAAGATTTCAGATCATAAAATTACTAGGTTAAATTTTAAGCTATATAGTTGTGATGAGCTTGATGAGGTCCTGTGACATTTGAATGAGTGAAATCATTTTAAACAACATGTTTTTAATATAGCATCATTTTGCACTGACATGAGCCTAGCAGTTGCAAATTGTAGGCACATCCGTAACACTCTTTTAAGCAATCTGAAAAATGGTTTTATTCCGATTTAAGAGTTGACTCTCAAATATCTTCTGCTTTTACTAGTTAACATGGGCTCTGGGCTTCCTGGGACACAGACGGTAAAGAATCTGCCTGCAATTCAGGAGACCTGGGTTCGATCCCTGTCAGGAAAGATCCCCAGGAGAAGGGAATGGCAACCCACTCCAGTATTCTTGCCTGGAGAATTTCATGGACAGAGGAGCCTGGTGGGCTACGGTCCATGGGGTCGCCAAGAGTTGGATACGATTGAGCAACTAACACTTTAACTTTCAACATGGGCTCTGGTTAGCATCAAAGTGTAAATCATGATCCAAATGGTAAAAATAAGAGACACTCAAAATACCCCCAACCACCAAACTGCTCAAAGCTATGTTTTGATGACAAAAATTTCATAATTTATGATTTCAAATCCACAGATGCAAAGGCTTTTCCATTTGAGAACAATATTGCCATGGCACAATTATACTATACTGTGCATGTGCCATGCACATTATACTACTAGGATAAATGGTGTCAAAAATATGAGTTAAATAATATAAGAGGAAACAGAAGTGCAAACTATATTTAGCACTAACACTGGGCTTGGCCTTGAGGTAAGATGACATTAAAGAAATAGAACATGATTATCTTTTTTTTTCCATTTATTTTTATTAGTTGGAGGCTAATTACTTTACAACATTGCAGTGGTTTTTGTCATACATTGAAATGAATTAGCCATGGATTTACATGTATTCCCCATCCCGGTCCCCCCTCCCACCTCCCT